GTTGTCTGATGAAATTCTAGATGAGATTGCCACAAGAGAACTTCCGGAAAATTTAGAGGATTTAGTATCTTTCATTTCCAGAATAGATGAACGCATGAGACAGAGGCAGAACACTCGGGAAAGAGTTACTAGACTTCCTGTAAGACTTGCTCCCTCATTTCAGAACCCTGACTCCTATAATCCCACTCCACCAGAACCTATGCAAATAGGTAATACTCGCTTATCTGAGGCTGAGAGACAGTACAGAAGAAGGGAGGGTCTCTGTTTATACTGCGGGCGGAGAGGTCACCTACGTCTTAGTTGCCCTAATCGCCCGGGAAACGCTCGCACCTAAGTTCCCTTAGAGGACGGGCCTTGGGTGTTTCGTTACTGTCCTCTATACATAATAAAAAAGACCATAGGCTTCTGATTCCTGTCTCTCTAGCTTGGGAAAATGGGTTTATTTCTACGATGGCATTGTTAGATTCTGGAGCAGCAGAAAGCTTTATAGACCAAACCTTCGCTAATAAGCATTGTATCCCATTCCAACTGAGAGATACACCCTTGGCCGTTGAGGCCATAGATGGTAGACCTTTATCGGAACCAGTAATATTCCATGAGACCAAACCCGTTAAGCTTACTGTTGGTATCTTCCACGAGGAGTTGATTTCCCTTCTGTTAATTTCCTCCCCGGCAGTCCCAGTGGTGCTAGGATATTCTTGGCTCAAGAGACATAACCCTCAGATTGACTGGGAGGGTGGAGAAATCGTTTCTTGGGGTATTGGTTGTAGGAAAGAATGTCTGCAGAGAGTTACTTCTGTTTGTCCCGTAAACTCTTATACTAACTCTTCCCAATCCACAGACGTTCAGATACCATTACAATATCTAGACCTCAAATCTGTATTTGACAAGGGTAAGGCGGATACTTTACCTCCCCACCGGTCTTATGACTGTTCTATTAAACTTTTCCCTGGTACTATGCCTCCTAGGGGTACGGTATACCCTTTATCCACCAAGGAAAATTTAGTTTTAGAGGAATACATCAAGGAGAATTTAGACAAAGGATTTATTAGAAAGTCTTCTTCTCCGGCGGGGGCGGGTTTCTTTTTTGTAGAAAAGAAAGACGGTACCTTACGTCCTTGTATAGACTATCGGGGATTGAACAAAATTACTATCAGGAATGCTTACCCTATTCCTTTGATTACTGAACTCTTTGACAGACTAAAGGGCTCGAGTATTTTTACCAAACTTGACTTGAGAGGAGCATATAACTTGGTGCGAATTAAACAAGGAGATGAATGGATGACAGCATTTAATACCCGTTACGGGCATTATGAGTATACCGTAATGCCGTTTGGGCTTTGTAATGCCCCGGCCGTCTTCCAAGACTTGATCAATGAAGTTCTTAGAGAATTCCAACATGAATGTGTGATTGTATATTTGGATGATATACTAATACATTCTAGAGACATTAACTCACATCATAGACAAGTCAGAAAGGTATTGCAGAAACTTTTACAACATGGATTGTATTGTAAATTGGAAAAATGTAGCTTTGATCAGTCTCAGGTAACTTTCTTAGGTTACGTAATTTCCAAAGACGGGTTTATGATGGACCCGACCAAACTAAAATCGATTTTAGATTGGCCTTTACCTAAGGGACTCAAAGCCATACAAAGATTTCTTGGATTTTCTAATTATTACAGACGTTTTATTAAAGGGTACTCCTCTGTTATCGCTCCTATCACTAATATGACCAAACAAGGAGCCGATACCAAAACCTGGTCTACTGAGGCTTTATCTGCTTTCGAAACGCTCAAACAGTCTTTTGCCTCAGCACCTGTATTAGTTCATCCTGATACCTCTCTACCCTTTTTACTTGAAGTTGATGCGTCTGAAACAGGGATAGGCGCAGTGTTGTTCCAAAGACAAAGTTTAGATAAGCCGCTGCACCCCTGCGGTTTTTTTTCCAAGAAACTATCACACACTGAAAGGAGATATGACATTGGTGATAGAGAACTCTTAGCTATCATTATGGCATTAAAGGAATGGAGACATCTGTTAGAGGGCACTGTTCTCCCAGTTACTATCTTGACTGATCACAAAAATTTATCTTATATGGGGGAGGCCAAAAGATTATCTGCCAGGCAAGCACGTTGGTCTATGTTCCTTACACACTTTAATTATATGCTTACTTACAGGCCTGGTTCTAAGAACACTAAGGCAGACGCATTGTCTCGTCAGCACGAACCTATCGCCTCTACAGAAGACACTTTGTTCCCTATTATTCCTGAAGTCAATATTATCGCCAACACCAATGTCAAAATACACTCTCCATTGCTCTTAGATATAATGAACGAACAATCTCTTGCTCCCGAGCGTACTCCTGTGGGCCGCTTGTTCGTGTCTCCCAAATTCCAAGTGGACATTATTCGCTGTTTTCACGATAGCAAGTTCGCTGGTCACCCCGGCATACACAAAACTTACTGCCTGATCTCCAAAGACTTCTGGTGGCCTAGTTTACGTAGGGATGTGGAAGACTTTGTCAAGGCTTGCGATGTTTGTGTCAGGAATAAACTACCACGGGATCTCCCTTGTGGTTTATTGCAGCCCTTAGTCGTTCCCAACAAACCTTGGGCTTGTTTGGCTATGGATTTTATTGTTGATCTGCCGGTTTCCAGTAGGCACACGGTTATCCTCACGGTCCTTGACAGGTTTACTAAAATGGCTCATTTCATTCCCTTGCCTAAACTTCCGTCCTCTCCTGAACTGGCCGTGATATTTGCTAGAGAAATTTTCCGTTTGCATGGTATTCCCAATGAGATTGTGTCGGACAGGGGTTCCCAGTTTATTTCCCATTTTTGGAGGTCCTTCTGTTCCCAGTTGGGCATCAAACTGAATTTTTCTTCGGCCTATCATCCTCAATCTAACGGAGCAGCCGAACGCACTAACCAAAAAATTGAGCAATATCTACGTTGTTTTGTTTCTGAACACCAGGACGACTGGGTCGGTCTGATTCCTTGGGCGGAGTTTGCTCACAACAACCTTGTTTGTGGTTCCACTCGTAATAGCCCCTTTTTCTTGAACTATGGCTTTAACCCTACTGTTCTTCCGTCGGTGTCTCCTTCCCAGGGTATACCGTCGGTTGATATTCATATAGCCAACCTGAGAAAGTTGTGGGATCAGACTCGACAAATTCTTGACACGTAGTTCCGCGGTGTTTAAGTCACATGCTGATAGGCGTAGGCGGCCTGCTCCTATTTTTTCTCCGGGTGATAGGGTCTGGTTGAGTACCAGACACATTCGCCTGAAAGTCCCCTCTTTGAAGTTTGCTCCTCGTTACATAGGCCCGTACAGGGTGCTGAGGAGGATCAACCCGGTTTCTTATTTGCTGGACCTGCCCCCTACTCTACGCATCCCTAACTCTTTTCATGTGTCTTTATTGAAACCTCTTGTTTGTAACAAATTTTCCTCCCGCTCTGCTCCTCCATCCTCGGTCCATGTGGATGGTCAGGAAGAATATATCATTAGGTCCATCCTTGATTCTCGTATTTCTAGGGGGAAGTTGCAATACCTCATAGACTGGAAAGGTTATGGTCCAGAAGAGAGGTCTTGGGTTCCTTGTGTAGACGTGCATGCTCCTCGCCTTCTTCGGGCCTTCCACGTTCGTTTTCCTTCTAAGCCCGGTCCCATCCGCCCGGTGGGCGTTTCTAGAAGGGGGGGTACTGTCAGGGTACCTGTTGGTGCTGACTCCAGGGAAGACATCCTCTCTGTTTAGGGGCTCCTTGCCCCTAGCATTTCGGCAAATTCCGGCCGTTTTCGCGCCGGCCGCGCTAGCTCCTCCCCCTTTTATGACGCGACGGCTAGCGTCGACGTCATGACGTCAGCATTACGTGAAGTGCCGGGAACCGCTATTCCGGACCTTTTGGGGGCGTGGTCTCAATTAAGGTGACAGGGTATTTAAAGGAAACCTTTACTACTGCTCATTGCCCTGTCGTGGTTCTAGCTTGCTAGTCACTCAGCGCGTTCTCTCTCTTGTGTTTTCGGTTTTGACCTTGCTTGTCTTTTGTCCTGTTGTCCTCTCCTCTCCTTTGACTCGGCTTGTATCTCGCTTACCTGTCCTCCGGCTCCCTCGACCTCGGCTTACCTTTTGACTATTCTTGTTTTGTCCATACGTTAGTCCGGCCATTCTAAGGTCCGGTATACGTACCTCCTTCTGTCCGCACTCTGCGTATTGGATCCCTGTCAGTATCCTGACACCTCCCTTGCTGCTAAATGCTCTAGGTATGCCTCTGCTGACAGATGAAAGTAATGTTAACAGATACAAAAGGTGAACAAGAACTCCATAATATAAGAAATATAATTAATGTATTACACTTAAGCACTATAAAACAAATGTATGCTAGTTCCTATTGTCACTAGATTTGTGAGCATTATGTTGTAATGTGTGAAATTGGCAGAAACAGAGAACTACACACAAAGCAATGCCACAATCAATGCAGGTGTATCGATTTTTATTATGGATGTGCTTCCTTTTTTTTTTTTTTAACCAACACTGTCTTAAAGTAGAGTACTCAAAACCAAGCAAATATTATCATTGTTAGTTTCATGAGCATAATGTTTCAATATATGTAGACAGGGAACTACACACAAAGCAATACCACACTTCTTCTGCAAACGTAACGACTTTGCGGATGCACAATTTTTTTGTAGTGTTCCCTCATACCCAGCTCTGCCTGAGGAGATAGGTTTTTGCAACACAATAGGAGAATGACAGATGGTGGACAGTTTCTCTAAGCCATCTTCAAGAAACCATCATCACTACATGAAGGATGACCAGTCAGCAGAGATAGACCCCCCAAAATGATGCTGTTCAAATGGCGTGTAAAGTAGTATTCTGAGTTTTGACCAACAAGAATGAATATAAATCATAACATCTAAAACATGTTGGAAAAAATCCTTTTTCCCACATCAGAGACTTGATAATTAAAGTTCTAACATTTGGTCATTTTTTTTCCTCTCCCCTATAAACCTCACCAATTGCATGGTTGTAAAACAACCTTGTTTTTTTACAGGTCTGCCTGCCTCTCCATTTGTTTGACAAATGTCAATAGAGCTGCCGTCATGTATAGACAGCATGTTAAGATCTTGCTTGCTTCTCCACTTCAGTGATGTTAGCTTTCTACATTGCATAAATACAATTTCACCCGTTGTCGATTTACAATTACATAAGATTTGTGATATTTTTGGCACCCCTGGTTTAACAAGCCTAAATGTTCAACAATGGGTCTTATTTTTAATAGCTTGTTAGACTCCTTGCACAAAGTTTTATCCACAAGATGAAGAAATTGATAAATAGCCATAAAATAATTTCTACCCATGACCATATTAAAGAATGGTGTGGATGTCTGGACCACCATTATGCAGCTACAGCTGGTTTGCATACAATATATAATGGACAAATTCAACACATTATATAATCATCGGAAACCTGATTTCAATGTGTATTGGTCTGTGATTGCATATCTATTTCAATACCAAACAGATCCAGGAGATAATGGGTAAAAATGACACAAAATACCTCATACACATCACTAAAGCCATTGGTAGCTGCCTTGACTCCAGGTTGTGAAAAGCATCTGTTCATGGACATAGACATCACCAGTCCACTTCAGTCTATCAGTTCAGTCTTCAGAATAGCCACCTGGAAGTGTACAGTGTTGATGGATCCTTTTTCACTGCGTCAACCACAACCTCTCCTGCTTCCAGAAGAAATACTTATATCAGGTGACTCTGGAAGAGAAAAAAACAAAAACAAGGAGCTATACACCAACAGGGTTATTCACTAAAGTGAGAATTCAAAGTGAATTTCGCATGCAAGGTCTGAGTAGCCAAAATTGCCTATTTTGACATTAAAATTGAAATTCTCCATGAATTCATCTTAGTGAATAACTGTAAATATAGCTTTTGCGTATTTAACATTTTGCATGTGTGTCATTGTTTTGTGTGCTCCTGATGTATGCAATGTCCATATTATTAAATTCCTCACTATTCGCCGTGTGTCTAACCAAACTATATGTCCCATAATAAGCTAATCTGCCTTTCTTCAAGGGTAAACAGGCCAGTTCTCCACCAAGAGAGTAGGGAAATACATTTACCTGGATTGTTTGTGGGACAGAAATATGGAACAAGGATGTTAGGGGGAAAGAGCTATATGTTGCTGTAATAAGTCATGTTTGATAATACTTCACCACATGTGAACACAGCAGCTATTACAATGGCTCCCGGCGGGTATGATGACCAGTATGGTGTTTGCAGTGAAGCTAAAATATCGGCTGCTAATTATGTGATTGCCACTAGTGGGAATTGTGACCCCCATTACATAAAGGATTGTGGTAGGATGGCATTTGATTTGCACTAGATGTCCAATAAGTGGTAATGTTACCCCCACGCACTACATCTAACATACAGAGGAGTGCAGTGTATCTACCTCCATAAACTCAGTGTTTTTGACTATTTATTTATTTATTTATTTATCAGATATTTTGGCAAGCATATGCCCAGCTGTGCTCTTTCACACCTGCACACCTTCATCACGTTCGATGCTGTAAGACAGAACTTCACTGAAAAAACCCTTTGCTGGATGAAGCACAGCCAAAGCACTTCTGCTATCTCAAGACTATGCTCCAATGTTCAGGTTAAGGAGTGGAGGATGGGTAAGCAAAATGCAAACAGACAAACTAGAGACGGTGGATGAGACAAAATAATTTGTTAAAATTGGGAAAGCCATATTAGGAAAGTCTTATAAAGCCATAAAAACATGTGTGTGTGCGTCTTTTGCGTGATGTCACCCGCATGTCGACGTCGTCTTTACCATGGACGGATGTGGGGCTATATAATAGCGTGTGCACCGACATGCCACACAAGCCAGGCATCATGGCAGAAGACCTCCGAGCGGCACTCCCCTCAATCTTCGGAAGGTAATTATCTCAGTTTTTGACACATGAATATGAAGGATACGTGACACAGGCACTCCTCACACAGCACCCTTCCCACACACACACTGCCCCCTTCACACAAGCATTGCAACCCTCTCACACACACACATACACACACACACACACACAGCACCACTCACACACACACACACACAGCAAAATAGAAAACAAGGGAAAATATAGATAAATTTAAGTACATTTAACATTTTACATTTAAGTACAAAAAAAAAAACCCTCCTTTCTAAAAAACAACAAAAAATTTTTTTTTAAAAGCTATACTATTATTTACAAGACATATTATGCAAATTGAGGAAAAACAGACTTTAGGCAATATGCCACAAAACAGGATAATTGCAAATAAAGAAAGTCTCTGATCTCCAGCTAGGTTTGAAACAAAGGCAGTTTGGTATCAATGGCAGGCTGGTTACAGAGGCAGGCTGGTAACAGTAGAAGGCTGATAACGGAGGCAGGTTTGTAACACAGGAAGGCTGTTAACAGAGGCAGGTTTGTAACACAGGAAGGCAGGTAATAGAGGCAGAGGTCAAAATCATACGTGAGAGTGGAGCAGGTTTGAAGGCAAGTCTGGAGCAGGTTGGTATGGAGCAAGGTAGAAGGTCAATCTGGAGCAGGTTGGTATGGAGCAGGGTGGAAGGTAAGTTTGGATCAGGTTCACAGGAGCCAGGGACTGAAGTCTTTCAGGTAGATCACCAACTTCAATGTAAAGGCCCTGTTGTGAGCCTTATGTAGCTGAAGCAAGTAATTATTCCTAGCCAGGTGAGGACTGAGGTGACTAGTGGCTAGGGAGGCCACTAGTGGTTGAGAGCTGGAACTTCTTTTAAAGGTACAGAAACAAAAGGAAGATAAAACATAGCTGTCAGGATATGATCCTGACAGTAACAATAAACTAAACTAGAGTTTCATTCCCTACATACCGATTATACTATAGACAGCAAAGAGGTTTTTAACTACATGAGACTAAGAGGTTTTTGTTGAGACTATGCAATTATCAATAAATTGGACAATTTAATAATTATAATAATAATTAAACTAGAAAAGGTACTTCATAAATCAACATCAACTAAATTGGTAGCAGGTTGTTTAGAACTTATAAACAAGGACCCAGAAGAGCCAATTTAACCTATTATTAGGAAGTGGGAAATAGAGTTAAATCTTCAAATCAGTTGTGATAAGTGGAGGTATTCCTTGGGCATGCTTTACTAAACTATGCATTGTCTTAATCTAGTGGAGTGCCTTTTAAAGCTCTCAAACAGATGGTACCTGGTTCCAAGCAGATTGCATAGGTTCGCCATGAATTGAGATCATAAATGCTGGAGATGTGAGGTCCAGAGAAGTGAATTTCTACATGTATGGCGGGAGTGTTATCTTGTCCAGCTTTTCTGGCATATGATTAGGACACAAATTCAAGCATTAACTAAAAATATGATGCATTTTTTTAAGTTATTTGTTCTGCAGCTTAATACCAGAGAGGATTTTTTTTAACTCCTTTAGTAATTCATTTACTAGTAGCTGCTAAAATTATGATAGCGCTATTCTGGATGTCACCTCTAGTTTCATCTTGGCCTCTTGTCAATGAACAACTTACATTTCAATTAAAAATGGAAATTGGCATCTTTAAAGGGCCCCAGAATGATCTGAGCTCATGGTGCAGTCATCTAGAGAATCTCTAAGCTGCATTATGTTCCCTGAAGTTATTATGTTACAGTGTAAAACATCGAACACTTCCTGCGTTGAAGAAGAATGCTGACGGATTGTCAAGTTTAAAATCTTGCTCTCACCATGGACTCCTTTGTGAGTATTTATATGATTTATCTTGATTTAGATTTAATTTGGTCTGTTATAATTTTGTTGTTTTATTTAATGGTGTTTTACCATAGGGTTTCCAAATCTATCATACTGTGGTAGTCATTTGGGTTTCTTTAAACAGTGCTAGGAGATGTTTATTCATACTTTTAAAATTATGTCTACACCTAACCTCTTGTAGCTGTATGATTAAATAACATCACTCAAGAATGTTATTTACTAATTAATTTTATAATTGCATTTTTGCACTGTTATTATTCCACTGGTCATAAAATGTTTGCATTTCTGAGTGTGAAGTAGCCAGACAACGACCCAGTTGTGAGTTGAAACATTGCAGTGTTCCCCTGGTTTCAATACATGTGCCTAAAAAGCATTGGAGTGAATGGACGTTCATTCTTCAAAGTACAAGTGGTGAAGGAACACAATGAGTAGATAGTATGTATAAATGAAAGAGATATGAGGAATAAGTAAAATATTGGATGAGACACAAAGTGTCTGAAGAAGAAAAACACAGGTAGCAGGGGAGGTATGGTGAGAGATACAAGGGAATGATGCTTGGAAAATAACGGTGTGGAGGGACAAAGGCTTTTTTCAAGTCCCAGATGACGGCACATTATTGGAGCCGAAATGCACGTAAGGCAACTTGATTTGCTCAGTTTTTACATTTTTGTTTTCTACCACATTATGTGATTGTCTATGTTCTTGGTAATTTAGTGGGATAGCTCAGAGATACTGGGGGCACTTTTTAGGGTATTGGATCAGCACACACTGTGCCTTTTGGCTGGCATGAGTATATACATGCTTACATGTTTTTCTAACACACATCACTCCAATTTTGGGGTTGTTCATATACTGTACTGTGAATGGTTGGTTTGTTAGGGTATCTCTGAGACTGCTTCTTTACAACAGTGTATACACTCCTTTTGCTACATCAGTTAGCTACAATCTGGCATTTCCATGCAACAATACTTATGGGAATTACTCTGAGTTGTGTATAGCATCTGTTATTTCAACCTGGGTATTTGCCAGAAGAGCTTTCTCCCAAATTCAGTTTAATTGATTCTGATTTTTTCTAGTTCTTTTTGACCTTGATGGTAGCTTACCACAGGGCCCTGGTAAATTGCACATTCCCTGATATTTCATATATAGCCTGAATATATTTCTAAGATTGTAGGAATAATGCCATTATTTGCCCCACACTATCTTCCCTTTAGACTACACAAGGCCTAATTTTTAGGCTTTTTTTTTTAAGTTTCTTTATGTGGGTTTCCCTCTTTTATATTCTGTGAGTTTATAGCAAAAAAATATTTTTTTTTTTCATCTAATTTTGAAGGGACCTCTCTGTGTTTCATGTGTCCTAGAACACGTCAGACTAGTTTTTCCTTGTTCTAATGTACCTCTGGATCCACTTAATTTTTAAA